TGTTCTACTTCTGCGGGGGTGGCTGGATAATAATATGCAGAGTCCTCGAAAACTATACTTCCTACCCGATACAAAGAGAAAATAAGCCTATGCCCAGGGTACTTTGTTATACAACATTTTCACTATCCACCAAGAGGAGGAAATGGATGTGGTTGAGTCGGATCTATAATTATATGTCTTGTCCTCTGTACTGTGCGGTTTTAACACTCTTTTGGCAATTTCAGGTATCATGGCTGGCGGAGCATACTGTGCGTACGAGTCAAGTAAGTTGGCCTTGCTGTATCAGCGCCGCCGTGGTTTTACACTTCCCATCTTTTCTCTGTGCTCTCTCTGAGTCTGTCTGTATGTATGTCTGTCTCTATCTCTCTCCCTGTGTGTGTCTCGCTCCCCCTCTCTCGTTCTCTCTCTCTTTCTCTCACTTACTACAACACTACGAGTGGTATAAGCACCCTGTAAATTTCCTGTATCCCATGGCAGATTGAGAGCCAATAGAAGAATACTGTGTTCAAGTATTGAACTTCTGCAGTGGTGTCTATCCTTCCTCTTTGTCGAACGGATCATTTCACAAACATGATTGAAATATATCTGCTTGGCAAGTGACCTGCTCCCATTTTAGACAGCACAGCGTGTTGTGTTGGAACATCTTCAGTCACTCCTAGTGGGTGAGCTTCTTACAGTGTCCCCTGAGTGCGGCATGTCAGCGCAGTGCACACTGCAGATCATGTACAGTGCCTGTGTGTCACGTCGCCTTGCCTACAGATCATGTGATCGCAGACTAGTGCACTTTGTGTAGTAGATGTACTGCACTCAATCTGCGAACAGAACTGTTTCGTCCTTTGGGGACTCATCAGCTGCAGCGCAGCACAGAGAAAATGAGGCCGAACCTGATAGCAATGGAAAATATATTTTTTCAAAGCCAGGTTTAAACCAGGCCCGAACGTACCTTGTCAGAGTGCTCAAACTAGCAAGTCAGTGAGCTGTAGATCTACTGCATGTTGCTAGGATTTTGCATGAATTTGTATGTAAAGGGTATGCGTAGCTGAATGTGGGAACAAGTTAATTTACATAGGAGCAACCAACTGCAAGTTATTTTTGTTGACTCAATGCATTTGATTCATCTGCATTTTGGTGATTGGCTTTTCGTTCACATAGTCATCGCTGATTTGTGCCTTGTGCTGCAGGGGACTGGACGTATGGCTCCTTCTACTTTCTTTGTGGTGTTATGCTGGCTCATGTTGCCATGGATAGATGGGAGGTGAGTCACGTGCGTCTGTATGCATCATGTGCGTGTGTTGTGTGTGTGCGTGTGTACGAGTGTGTGCGCACACCGGCTTGATTGTGCGGTGGCAGATGTTATCATGCTTCGAATTGGCAGAGCATTTCATAAGATTGGGCTACGAGACCTCAACTTCAACACACAGCTGAAAATTTACTTTCTCTGATGATTGTCTTGTTAGAAGTATAATATTCTGTTCAAAACGATCGTTTCAGTTGTCTCTGCATGTGTGCGAGTGTTACTGCCAACACTCTGATCATGTTCACGAGTTCTGTGTGTACAATGGGCACCGTCACCGACGTTAACACTCACTCCATGATGCAATACCCAGTGGCGCTTCATCAACAGTACCTTCAGCTGCTCTCTTTCTGCCCAAACGTGTTGGAGATGCGGCGCCAAAATCCTAGGCTCTTCTGTGGAGATGCGGTGCCCGTCGTCGCTTGACTAGATCGCCATCTCAGTTCCCCAATTGGTTGCTGGTTTTGTCGGCATCTGCTGCTGTTTTTCTCTTGGATTGCATCACACTCCTGATGTGGGTGTACTTTTGCAGAAGGTGGAAGTGGGCCTTTGACTTCAATTTTGAACCCGTCAAATTGGCAGTGAGTATTATGTTTGCTGGGGATGGAAGATACCCTGTAGTCCTCGCTTTGCTGTGTAGCTTGTTGGACATCATGCCGCCAAGTTTGCCATGTATACAGTTTCAAGTTCTATCTGCATGATGCTTTGTCACGGCAATGTTATGTCAGTAATGGCAGTGCAGTCTTGAAGTAGTGTTTGTATGTCTGTTGCTTCTTGGCTGCGCAGGAGGCCCAGCTCGACAAAGCCAAGAACAAGGTCATCATATTCCATCGCACGCTGCTCGATGTCGTGCTGCGTCGACAACCCGACAGATGTGGTATGTGCACGGTTCATGTTCAAGTCGTGTACTTCACCCCGACTAGCCCACTTTACCATTTTCACCGTTCAGTAGTACACCTACTAGTACTTCAAGTAGTTCTTTTTTAACTCTCTTGTCTTAAAAAATGTAAAGTTTCATACATGTAAAAAAATTTTAGGGGGGCGTGTAGGATAACTACAGTAACCCTTTCAAGGCGACCACTCGGATAAGGCGTCCACCTGTCCTAGAAGACCACTGAAACCAGGACTAAGGGACGCTATTTCCAGTCAAATGACCCTGGATATGGAGACCTCCTGGTAACAGAGACTTCGTTTTGAAGGTCCCTTGAGCGGTTGTCTTAGACAGGTTTCTGCGCTAGGATTACCAATTGTTTCTCGAAACCAACTGCTTTAGTATTTAGACATTAGTGGACCCTATCCACTCATTCTTCTCCACCGAATGCAATGAATTTTAAACTTTAGGGCAGTTTGAACGGACCCATGCTCCCACAGCACTGCTTTGAATTGTTTTCCGTCCACTCAATGCTGAGCTCTGGGACAAAAATGTCATAGCTCACCCCGCAGGAATGAAACTCGCTCCTCTTCGGCAGCCCCTACAGTTGCTGTGTAATGAATTCCGGTGTCTTCTGTGCTCCATTGCAGTTGTCTCGAACTTGTCGGAAGTCGTTGATGTACGTGTCGAGTCTGAGTCTCTTAAGTATGCTGGGACCACCTATAATGTGAGTGGCGGCAAGATCTGGTCAGTGTCAATTTTACTGTTCTTGCTCTAAGTTGTGCTCTTTCAGTGGCTAGAGGACTCACCATGGATTGCATTCAGCCAGTGTTGCTGCTGCTACTGCTACAGTTGGATAGCTCTTGACTTCGTATTTCCCTTGTTTCTCTATTGTCTAAGTCATCGGCCCGCCCAGGTGAGGGCATAGGGTTTTTAGCTTCTGGACCATTTTACCTGAGTCTGTTCGTTTCGATCCCTGCTGCTAGCTCCGTGCAAGCTTTGGACATACTGTAGAACTCTTCCTTATTGGGACCGAGCACTGCCCGTAACTCAGAACATACTGCTATAAATACTGATTGCATGCAAGTGACTCAAGAGGAGTCACAGAGGTGCATGGTAGACGGGAGTGCCCGGATCTGGGGAGTCGAGATCCGGGGAGTTTTACTTTACATGCATACTGCTTCCGGCCAATGCTTCTGTTCACCAAAGAATGTTTTCATTGATGTGCTCACTTGTTTGTGTGCGTGTCTGCATGTGCGCGCCTGTGTGTTGTGTTGTGTTCTGCGGTGCAGGTTGTTCTTGCGTTTGAAACTGGCTATACGCTAGGACTGACCAGTTCCGGGACCTACGGTGACAAGTTGTGAGTACCCCACCCCGTGGTCATTGTTTTCCATTGTGATAATGTTTCCCAAACTGCCTTTGTCTTGTCGAGTGCATGTGGATATGAGCGTGTGCGATTCAAGAGCCCTTTTGTTATTCTTGTTTGTCCTTTTTTCAATTATATGTGGTTTAGTTACCATCGTGTCTCTGTTCGTTGTTTCGTTTGTCAATACAGTAAGGAGATGAAAAGCTTTTTTTTTAGTCCCGGAACTTCAAAAAAGACAATAATTACATGTCCTCTTTGTTCCTGCGCCCTTTGGGCCACGCAATGGCCATCATTCCTTTACGCGAGTATGACCTTGCCCTTGCAGTGTGATGCTCACTGATGGTTTGTTATGCAGGTGCACGCATTGCATCATAGCTGTTTGTAGCTTGCATGCAACGCTCGGTCTGTATCGTATTGGTGTTGCATGATGTCTTTCTATCTCAACGTGTATTACGCACAGAGTTGACTATTTTGTTCTGTACTTTCCTGTTGTTGTTGTCTTCCCGTGTGCAGCATCCATGAGAAGCTGGCAGGAGAGCTGCGTGACTTTCTCAGCATGAAGTCCTCGGCTCAGTTTCTGGAGAACATCGACACGGCCATCGATACGGCCATCGCGGCTCATGTTGCCCGTGCAGGACCGCCGCCAACGTCAGCATCCTCTGCTTCCAGCACGGACGGCGGTAGTAGAGAACCTCAGGAGCGTCGTCGGCAAACCGCCAGGGGATCACCCACGCAGGAGTGACATCACAATCGCCGGAGTTCTTTGCACCGTCTGCAGCTCAGGCTATGGATGGATACTGATGCTCCAGCTGTGTGTTGTGTGCGTGCCACTCAAGGTCATGAGGGGCAGTGAAGCCATCGGTAGTTATCACGCTTGCAGTGGGAAGTAAGGTTTGCGCTGAATCTGTAACATTTTTTTTTAATGGAGCGGACTGCTGCCCGATACGGAGAGTGTCTGATCAGCGGCTGGGCTGGTTCCGTGCTGTCTCTCTATTTTGTGACTCGGTCTCCGCATTCTCACTGTCTTTGGACAAGTGAGTGCTCTTCTTGGAATCTGTATTATCCGAGTGCAAGTGCATCCGAGTGATCATTGGTGCTAGTGTGTGTAAGGCAGTCTGGTCATACGGTACAAGCGTACCTTATCCTTATTCATTTACTCATTTATCCATATTCTCTTACCAGTACTCAGTCCCTACGGACTCGTGCAATATCCATCAGTGGAGGGTATTGAAAAGGGAGAAGTCTGAAGAAGAACAAAAATGACTGCCACCGCCAGGACTCAATGGATTTTTTAATAGTTTCTCTCACTTGTTTTGACTGACAACCATTATCTCTGTCTGTAGATTTTAATTGTAGATTTTAACCAACGTTTTTTTTTAGATAGTGGTGATGCATCGATGGCGCTGGAGGCCAGTCATCGCCGTGGTAAACTAGTGTGCAAGCTTCATGTTGCAGGTGTAGGGATTGCATGCTTTGACTTCTGAAGTATTTTCCATAGCTTCAAAGTGGTAAAAGCAGTCTTCTGCAGAGCATGAATATATTATTTTCTTACTCTTCCTGGCGAGTGTTATCACCGAGTCTGACTTATACGGACATTTTGCACTGGGGATTGGTCTGTTTTATCCGCTGTGCTGTAGTGTTACAGCCTGCACTGCCTCATACTTGGATCATGTACTTCTTTCTCTACATTTCATTTACGATTTTACTATCATTTTAGCGCTATTTTCTAATTTATTCTCCACTCTAGAAATAGAACAGCAAATCCGGCTCTGGATCATCCTAGCTTGGCTTAAGTTAATTGTAGTGTGCGTTGTTTCGAACACAGACTCAGTCGTGTCCTAGACTACCATGGCTGTCTTGCACTTTGCCGTTGGCACAGGAAGATGCCGGCGACTTGGTTATGCATGTACCCACACCACTCCATGCATCAGCTCCGGCTGAAGAAATGAGAGAGCTGCGTGTTGTGCAACGCGGATAGTGGACACTGTAAATATACACAATTTTGGTGCTGCAAAATTTCAGCGTTTCACAAATTTCGACATTTCACCAGTGGCTGGCCTCGTTCCGTGCTATGAAAAATTTCATCACTGTGTCAATTTCGGTGTTCTGCATCGGTGCCGAATCGAATAAAGCCGAAATTTTGCTTTTACAGTACCCAAATTTTGGAAAGACGCAAGTGAGCACGTACTCACAGCTATGATTTTCTCCTGCACATTACAACGTTCACTACATTATAGTTATTACATGTACTGAGTACTGAGTATAGTATTATAACCCAATACTAGTACAATAGTGGTCTTAGATAAACCTTGTTTGACAGCATGAAACAAGGTGGAGAACACTGTGTTCGGAAACAGTGACTGTACTACATGTACAAAGCATGACTATCAGGATGACATCCAGGAGTGATCAAAGTCTACAAAACTCCCCTGCTAGCACAATGAGGGTCAGAACCGGGTTCAACACCCATATGGTTCAGATGGTCCCAACGGACTGGGGCTCTACCAGCCGTGGATGGTTGTAGTACTGTATCAGGTCACTGTTTCCGAACACAGTGTCCTCCACCTTGTTTCATGCTGTCAAACTAACAACATGTACTGAGTAGTAGCATGTCGATTATCTAAAATGCATGATCACACACACTGCTGGGCTTAAAATCTGCACTTCGGTGTCGACACTGTTAGCTGTAAACCAATCTCTCCCTCATCCATACGCCCACAGCTAGCACAGACACACGCACGCCCACGACCATACACAATAAAACACCAGTGCCCGAGCAGCAGCTTCAAGTAGAGTACGTGTACAGTGTGTACTTGCTACGGGTCAGGATCCAGCATAGGCATGATCAACAAATGGATGGTCTAGTTACACCGAGAAACCGGTTCCGGATGAGGGGCAGCGTGGGAAAGCAGTGCCCGCAAATGGTATCTTTAATAATAAACAATAAAAAACAAAACATTGAGCACTAGACCATAGGGATGGTAGCAGAAGACACCTGCTAGGCTGTCTGAGGAGTCGTGGATGCAAGCTTCGTTGGAGTATAGGTATTAGGTAATGGATGCATGATGGTCACATGGTGACGACGTGACACAGACGGTGAGTGGCGAAGATGATAAAACTAGCAGCAGCAGAGAAATCACTTGCCGGAGAGGTCGATGGAGACACCGAGACGATGGTTGGGCTGGTCCAGGTGCACGGCGTCGACGAGCGACGACAGCGTGATCTTGACACCCTTGCGCATGTTGACGGCATAGGACAGACCGAGAAGGCCGCGGGTGTTGACCTTGGCTTGCAGGGTGGAGGACGGGTCGCTGGCGTATTTGGTGGCGATCTCGATCGAGCTGCTGTCGGCCACACCGGCAACATGGCGGGCCTGTGCGCCTGCGTGCAGCTTGCTGCACACCTTGTGGAACAGAGATCCAGTGATCTCCATGCCCTGGTCGCGCGTGAAGTTGGACACACCAGCGGCGCAGGCGAAGTCCGATGATTCGTAACCCAGCTGAATACTGTGGTTGCCCAGCTGGCCGTTGGTGACATTGTACGAGGTGCTGAAGCCACCTACAACCTTCTCATAGCTGAACACGTCCTCAACGCTCAGGGTGGTGCCCTTAGCGTCCACATTCACGGATGCAGCTCCATTGAAATGGGGACGTTTGTATGCAGCCTTGGCCTTGTTGCTCTTCCTGCTAGTGTGGGGAGCAATGGTCGAGTCCAAGGTCAGCTTCAGTCCATCAACGAACTGGTTCTCCACAGCCACGTTCACGTTGAATGCGTTGTCCGTGTTCCACTTGCCAGTGAGGGTCAAGCCATACTTGGACACCCTCTGCTTGGTCTCCAGGCTGCCAGAAATGCGAGAGCCCTCCGATGTGGTGATGGCCTTGAACTCACAGCCATTCTTGGCCTGAGAGGAGGCCTCGAGCTTCACCTGTCCATGGGAATAACCCTTCTTGAAAAGGTCGCTGGCGTTCTTGCCAATGTCACTGAAGCAAGGTGGAGTGCTCATGATGAAGAATATGAAAGAGCAGAACTAAGAAATATTGATCTCAGATGAAAGTGAAAAACAACAGCATCTGAATCTTGACCAACAAATCCAGGATAGCGGGTTTTTGCATTCGATGATCAGTGATCACGCCATTTGAGTTTGTGTAGCTGCGCAGGCGCAGCATGCATCACCAAAATGATTATGTCACATGCATGCATTCCATTAATTAATTGCGAAATCATGAAAAGTATGCATTTTCCACGTGCGTTTCTCTTTCGAGTTTTGTCTTCTGCACAAGTACTTGTTATTGATCATTTTGATAGGAAGTAGAGGCAGCCTGGCAGGGGGTCGAACAGAACAGGGGGAAGTGGACGCACGTGATCATGCAGCCGTTTCAGGGAGGAGAGGTGCCTGTGTGTTTCTGAACGTTTGCAGACCTGGATTTTGTCCCACAGCGAGTCCAGTCACCAGGTCTCTGCAGATAATATTCACACTTCTCTTCTGCTGTGCCCATAATTATGCCATGTACATCTCTCATTCATCAGTGTACAGGTCCTGTATTTAGAAATGACTAGTTTACCTGTGCGTAACAGTCACTAACAAAATTATACTAACAAAATTATACCGTATTTCCACAAATAGTGGGCCGGTCTACTATTTTTTCAACCTCGCCCTAACCCGGCCTTATATATAATCGAGGACGGTCTTTTATTCTTTCAACTCAGTTTGACCCCGGTCTTCTATTTCTCGCCACACAGGTTTACCCCCGTTTTTCCATTTTCTTCTACACAGTTTGAGCACGGTCTTCTATTTTTAACACAAGAACAAAGACTCATTTAGTAGGCCCGGTCTTCTAATCGGAGACGGTCTTTTATTTGCGGAAATACGGTAGTTTGTTGTGCCATGACCAGCTCACCCAAACTTTCCAAAGTCAATCAGTAGATCTAATACTATATTTAAAATACATAAACTGTTTATGACAGAATTAAATCATTCCAGAACGTCGAACAAGAAACAAAATTTATAAAAAAGGGTTCAAAATAATTGATTGATTCAAAGGCTGTACATGTGGGAGCCTATCCAGAGGCTCTCCTCTGAAATGAGACTGCGAGGCTACACGCACAATTGTCCAGAGCACCGAGGGCAGTTAGTACTAAACTAGTTTTTTTCTTCTAGATCAAGTACGAGTAATCTCTGGTTGACACATGCAATGCAGTTCAGCCTCAACAAGGGGCGGGATCATAGCAGGGAATAAATACTAACAGGGGGGGGGGGATTCCCAATGGAACCATGACAGCACATCTCTGTTCTGAGCCATGGTGTTGAAGTCGATATGACCACAGGCTGTGGTAACAGCATGCATGTGCATGCTTGATGTGGAGGCAGAGCACTAGCTAGCTACCAGTTTGGGGTGGTACAAAATAATTTGTATCCGGCTGATGAAGTCCTTGCTGGGCCAAGAGGTCCATAAAAATCTGCACGGATGTCTACAAGATGTACGTGCCAGATAGTTGAAAATCACTAGGCCATCTGCCGGCGGGTGGACCCATCCACAAGGCGGTTCAGGTCTTCCTTTGCTTTGCTGCGACCCCGCCAAGCTCACATTGATACATGCGCCGCACAACCTGGGAGCGGCATTGCACAGGCAACAATGGCGGTGACTGGACTGCAATGGTGGCGCTTGTGCACAAGTCAACATCATGGTTGTAACAAGACCAGCACGTTCACAAAGTCTGCTTGTTACCGGTATATGACACACCTCACTGATACAGACCAACTGATGCTGTTTCCCTGCCGAAATTTGACTTGACCAACGCTGCGCTCATGCTGGTACTTTTAAAACATCAGTAGCTCGGTATCATGTCTGTAGGTGAATATTCACGGAAGATAGCGCGTCCACGCACCATGCCGGGTAGTCCTTATTCGGGAACACGCCAGCAACGTAGTCGCGGGCGAACTGCGGAAACGTTCCCGCCTTGATGCTCTCTCGTATTCTCCGCATCAGGTTGAGCTGCACAAATAACCAGTGGAAAGCATGCGACAAGAACACAGTACCTCGGTCAGCAAGAAACCTAAGCCGGCAAAGAATACACTTGTGTATACCGGTATCCAGAGTGGTGGACAAGAGGTGGTACAATTTCCCTATTCACATAAATTCACCGTCTCAATTAATTTTAGGGAAAAACATGACCTCTCCTTAAAATGTGTTGATTTTGACAACAACACATTCAACGTACCTCGTAGTGCAGATTGTGTACCGTGGCAAGACAGCAGGCGACCTTCTCCTTGTTGCGGAAGAGGTGGTGCAGGTGTGCGCGACTGTAGTCGGCACACGTCGAGCACGAGCAAGTGCTGTCGATCGGGCCATGGTCGTCTTGGTACGGGCTTTTCTTGATGTGCAGCAGACCGCTGTCCAGCATCAAGCTTCCAAAGCGCTGTGCATAACAAACAGTCCCAGAAAGGAGGACACAGCAGGTTTTCAACACACACCATGCACCTTGTACCATGCATGCGCCCGTCGCAAGAGGAGCATGCAAATCTGCAAATGCAGATGATGTGCACCCACAGGTTTTCTCTTGCACCCACACCCACACCCACACACATACACCCACACGCCCTCCCCCCCACACACACACTACTTACGCCGGTACGCGATGGCATCACACAGTCAAACATGTCGCAGCCCAGAGCAACACACACGACGAGGTCCAGCGGCAGACTACGACAAGAACAGAAAAGAAGAGTTAGGTCAAACGTGCAGAGAATCTCAACAGCTCAGAAGCAGCAACATCACCATCATCATCAGCAACAGCAACATCTGATGTTACGATGATCATCTGCAGCAGCAGCAGCAGCAGCAACGACAATGAGCTGCCAAATAGCCACACCGTTAACACTCCAAGGCATGCTGCAAACTGCACAGGTAAGGAAGGTTGCAGGTTATTCTTGGCCATAGCAAAGTACAGTGCTGCTCAATGAAATCAGATCAAGCGAGTCAAGGCCATGCCGGGCACTGTCTAGCAGATTCACGCAATCAGATTTTGTTGAGCAGCACCGCACAACCTGTGTACATGCCCCTCTACCTGACATGCATCATTATAACTCATAGAACTGCCAGACGTGCAGCAGGTGAAGTCTGACGTCATGAGCGGACTATAGGTGCAGCATTGCTATAGTAGATCTTACCCTACGCCCATCAGATATCTCGGCTTATTGTCGGGCAACACACCAGTGGAGACGTGAACCATTCTCCAGAAGTCCTCTTTCTGCTCTCCCCCACTCAGGCCACCGATAGCATAGCCGCCGCAATCACGCTTGACGATCTCTACAGAAAAAACATGCAGTAATGCAATAAAAGGAAGTACACAATGTTGCGAGTTATGACTGAGCGGTCTAACAATGTAAGCAGATAATGATACTAATCAGATACACAAGTTGAATTCTGCAAATTGAGCCCTCAACGGACAGTGGATGAACCTCACATGGCAATACAGTCAGATAGTGCAACAACTACTTCGAAGTAGACACAAAGCCAACATGGGGTACTGAGATCGGAGTCCATTAGAAAACAGAGGTACCAAAGTCGACTACTGTAGAACGGGTAATTTTAGCGACGTAAAAACCCTAGCGAATTTAGCGGTCTACTCATTTTCGCTAAAGTTTCAAGTCGCTAATCCGTTGAGACATTAGTAGTGCACTGGTGATCTGTGAGTAAAATCGCTGCAAATTGCTAAAATAAAACGTCGCTAACCGGTTGCCAATGAGAAAATGCTAAAATCAATAGTCGCTAAAATTACCCGTTCTACAGTATGCCTGCAACAATAAAGATGTGGTCATGGCGAGTAGGTTTCTTGGCATTAGACGAAGGATTCTGTAAATGGAATCTCGACTCGCACCATTTCACCACTACCATGAAAAAGAGTCAAGGAAAAGGAGCACAAGCAAACTTAGAATCTGACTTGAAAAGGTGTAAAGAAGGTACTTGAAGGTATACCTTCAGCACAACGTCGCCGCAGGTCACCATCTAAGCCGCCTTGAACGATGGGAAACAGATTTTGCTCCGTTGGTCTCTTGTTAGCAGCTATGCATCTGGCAGTTCAAGCATGTACATGCAAACAAACAAGACATACAGGTATGTGGGAGGAACATTACACACAGAAATAGGGACACGACTACATGTACATGCAAGCACATACATGTGTGCTCGGTTGTAGTGCATGGAACTTCATTCTCATACAGGAGCACATGCATGCCTCTGGTGCAGAATACATTCAGATACATGAACAACTGAGCGGTGAGGTGATACAATTAGGTTATAAGTCCTATTCTGTCCGCAGATTGAGTAATACTTACTAGAAATGTTTCGTGTGGAATGACATAACCAGCACTGGTTTGCCACTCGATACAAAGGCTTATAGCTATACGTTAATGATGTCATCCACATTAACCTCTGTGGCTTCACAAGCAGTATGGCAGAGCACTGAGGGCAGAGCGTATTGTGCCTACATGAATGGTTGCTTGCTTTAGGCAAAGCACACCAGTGCCACTGCGTACGCACACACACACACACCCATGCCAGCGCGAGCGTATACACATAGTTGCCTCACCTGTCGAGCCAGCGCAGTGTTCGATGCATGGCCTCTTCGACACGCGGGCCGGTCGTGGTGCTACTGACGACGTCATCCAGCTGCATCATGATGTCAGCACCTATGCAGTTCTGGATTCTGATAGACTCCTCAGGCGTCAGCAACATCCGCTTGCCATCATACGGCGAAGAAAAGTTGACTCCTTCCTGTGGACAACAACGGAAAGCAAAAGCAAAATAACAACTCCGAGACAAAGAGCGTACATGTTGCACGATACAGTGGCAAATAGTGGTGTACTGCATTGGCTGGAGTATTGGCAGCCATGTGATTCACAGTGGGGCACATACTGCCCTTCCCAAATATCCACACACATTGTCCATGCATTTGAGCATGCAGAAGGGTGTATATAAGGCTGGGAGGAAAACAAAAGAAAACTCTGGTGAATGCTGGCTGTGCACCCACTCCACGTCATCTTCTGGACGGAGAGCATGCCAAAGTGAATTCGGCTTACCTCTGTTATTTCAGTTAGTTCCAGCAATGATACCATCTGAAATCCACCACTGTCCTAAAGAAGATACAACACGGATAGATATGAAATAATAATATTTCGTGAATCCGAAGAAGCACCACAGTGAAGTTACTTTAGCTGTGCCACAGCCCCATGTCGTGTATTTACACACCTGCAATGCAGTCCCAAAACAACCTGGGTCACGAACAGATAAGGGGCATTTGCGAACAAAACGGGACCCATGTGTGCGTGCGTGTGTGTGTCCCATATGGTGCAGTGGTATGTGCAGTCAATTTCTAATCGAGAGGTTGCGGGTTCAATTCCCGACGATTACGGTCGCCTCTTTCTCGGACTCTTCCTGACTTTTCTTTCATTCTCCTGGGTGGTTACCAACAGCCAGTGTATGCCGGAGTATGTGGTGTGGTGTGCGTGTGTAGAAAAAAATGGAAAAATGAAAAATAGGGATTCACTGGCCAGAAAAAGTCACTTCAAACAGCTGTGTGGTGGATACCAGGCTAAAAATAGTGGCGGTCAATTCATCAGCCTTGCAAGCTGTTGAATGGTGTAATCCCAGCACAATTTGCTTTGTCTAACATAGCTGTTCGCTATCATCGCTTCTGCGATGGGCATGTCTGAGGTCTGAGGTGTGTGTGTATCAGTGATGTTGTATAACCCAGATAGGTTAGGGGCCACCTCCCAGTACTGTTGGCCGCTTGCACAGCCACAACGAGCAACACTTCATGCATTTCCATAATTCAATATCCAGCACTGAACTCACCGTCAAAAGAGCTCGATCCCAGCTCATAAATTTATGAAGTCCACCAGCTTTGTCAAGCAGCTCTGTGCCCTGTATAAAAATAAACATACCAAAACACAATGCACTGGGGAATGTACTGGATATGTTTCGCTGACATTTCCGCACACTGAACAGATGATTTGAACGATGATGTGGATACATGTATGTGTTTGCACTTGCATGCCGAGGCAAGTGAAATCCAGACAGATCGTTTAGTTGCTGCAAAACATGTTCGTTGGCAGCATGGTAGCGCGCCGCACCAGGATCGATAATATTTCCAAGGAACAGGCATCATTGCCATTGGGCTCAGGAAGTCCAAACACTCGCTCTCCACAGATAAGATGGCAGCTGTACAAGTTGGAGGGATTGAAAACGGAAAAAGCGTGAAGAAAAAATTGACTGTCACCACTATGACTCGACCCAGGGACCTTCGCGCGCTATAGACAACCGATGCTCTACCACTAAGCTATGGTGTAGTCGTCATCCAAGCAGCGACCGTTCAGCATTTTCTTCAGACTTCAATTGTACCGATACGCACTACACCGTATACACATGACTATACGGCTGTGTTCAATGAAATGATTGAAATCCTACCTCATGAAGGGGTTAGCGCCCTACACCAGTGCACTGACCAGTAGTCGTAGGTCCGGGGCCAGCACAGCGTCCAGCACGACACTGACAGTGATTTACTCGATTGGATTTCACTGAGCAGCATTCTACATGACTGTATAATTATGTACAGTGAAACTTCAGTATAACGTACCCTGGATATAACGCGTTGTTTTCTTTGCTTCAGATACTACTAAAATAAAATAAAAAGTACTAAATTGCATAGGGTACTTTTTTGGAGGCACCACATATCCTTTTCCAGTCATTTGACCCTAGGATAAAGTACCTCAGCTATGAAGCACTGATTTTTGTGTCCCTTGGAGTACGTTATACTGCAATTTCACTGTATGTACTGCTGGTTGCCATACACTGAGAAAGGCATGTTGTCTCTACAACAGGGCTCAGACTCACTGGACTCAGTCCAAGGTGATAGGTATTTCCCAACAGAATGCGACAGTCCATGGCTTTCATCTGGCTAGGTGTGACGCCTTTGATCGCACCCTGTGTGCCCACAGGCATGAACACGGGAGTCTCCACCGTCGCATGGGGCAAGTGCATCAAGGATGTTCGAGCCCTGGTCACAGGGCATTTCGCCAGCACGTCGAACTTCAAGGGGTGATCACCGGATGCAACCGCCATACCTATCCTGCAAGTAGCTGAGCTCACAGTCTTTGCTGTCATCAAGCAGCAATGGAGGTCGAAGCGATCCACGACCAGAAAACAACGGCGAAAATGTAGATCTATCTCCTGTGCAATGTGAATACAATGTACTTCAAAATAATTCTTTCCTTTGACTTTTGTCAGTTTTGAGGAGGGTTATGAGATTCTGAAAACAAAAGATGACGACGTCGCGTCATGCAGACGACTGTTTCCATGGCGCTTACGTCATAGTGCAGTGGAGCTGCTTGCGCCACCGACTTCGCCTCAAAGTTCAGCTCCAGCAAAAGAAAACGTGAAAGGTCAGATCAGATATCAGGCGACAAGCCAAACCCTTGTACTTGTACTACAGTCCATTCATAAAAAAATGGGTCCTGGCTCTGGCGAGCTCCCGTATTTGGCGATTTTTCGTGATTTCATCGTACACAGTGCAGTGCTGCGAACTTTGAAATTTGAAAAAGGGTCCAAAAAGGGTGCCTGAACTGGGGTTCGAACCGCAGAATGCACTGTTGCAGGCGGGGTCAAACGGCCTGGATTTTGATGGTTTTTCCCAATTCAGTGCTTTTGGGGCAAAACCTGGCCGAAATCCTATTCTTGCTATGGCTTGCTTTTTGGACAAAAAAACTTCAGAAACATAATTGGAAGAGGATTCCATATGGGATTGCAGAAAAAAATTCTAAAAAAACTCAACGTTTGACCCATTTATGGCCAAAAGCTAGAAGTTCATTTTTTTCTGAATGGACTGTAAGTTGTAGTAAAAAGTTCAAAGGGGGAACAAGACATATTTGTTGTTAGGCGACATCTTCAACGGGTAAGGAAGACGTCTCGAGGAGAACCTGGCTCATTGCCACCAGTAACACTTCTCTGCGTGCACTATGGCGGCCAAATCGAAATGTCCGAACCAACTGCAGGACTATGCCAAAGGAAAGAAGGTACATGTAATAGCTGCAGTGCAATTCGGATTTCTTGTGGGATGGGCAGAGAGTTTGAAGTTTCCAGGTTCTCGTGATTTGTCCCCTTCTAATTCCATCAGATGAAAGCCTGGAGATTCAGTATCCATGCATGTTAACGGGTGAACTAGAGCAGGTTGAAATCCTCTAAAAACATGTCAGAATGTCATGAGTACTCTCTCAAACAACAGTCAAGTGCAGTCAGTGTTACAAGTAGTGAACTGTGACTGTGGTCCTGTGGGTATCATTGGGTATTTATTATGGACATGTACACATGCACGTGTTCCTTGAACACTGTCGTGGAATTCTGGTAAAGTAAAAGGGTGCAGGCGTAATCCTGTACCTATATCTAGTATTGGACGTCAACTGTTTTGATGAACATATACAGTGATGTACTGTTGAATACTTCCAGAACGCCCCGTGACTTCGAACATTACCACGGTGCGATCGTAGGATGGGGAGGATGAGAGACCTCTCTACGATACTGTATGCCACGAGCCAAGGGCCATTCGCTTCATACTCGGCGAGCGTAGATGCTATATCCGCTCCGTCGGCAATGATTCTAAGCACTGGCACGTGGACTTGTAGGGTTCGACGAATCGAACATATATCAGCAGTTTCCGCAGTGCAATATGGCACCGAGGGGTAATGTGGTAGTCCCTTCCCAGATAAGAAAATTTAATGTAGGTGGGTTACTTCAGGAATCAGGGTGCTCCAGTGGTACGATGTGGTGCTTAGAAGTTATAGCCCGTGCTGTGTCATGATTATGCCGCAATTTGTGCGTGAAACTCTGAATCACTGCAAGATGAGTTCTGCCCTTCTCTACATGTGTAGAAGTAATAGGGAACCAACATTCCAGTCACACTGCAAAGGGGGGGGGGGGGGGGGGAGAGTGTACTATGACTTGTAGTATCTAAGAGAAAGGTCCACCAGGAACCAGGCTCGTAGCACTCCATAGAGAGCCGATCCAGCAGCATGTAGCCGAAGATAGGTCCAGTAGTGCAGAATGCTCTAAGTGAACCTACACACCTGCAACTGGAGCAGCTGCTACGTTCCTAGCCTGGGGACACAACCACCAGGCCCATGCTTGTTGTCAGCTAGACGCTCTGACAGTACTAGTAATTAGGTTTACCGGATGCTGTGTTTGATTTCAGAACTCCGACAAGCTGACCACCAGCGCTGGTTGCCCAGTGGACAGCAAGACGTCAACCATGACCGTAGGTCCACGGGGACCTGTCCTGCTACAGGACCAAGTGTTTCTCGACGATATGGCTCACTTTGACCGAGAGCGCATCCCGGAGCGTGTGGTGCACGCCAAGGGAGCTGGTAAGTGGTGGTGGGGCATAGTATAGTGGCGGTGGTGGTGGTGGTGCTTGCGGCGGCGGTGATGTGTGTGTGTGTGTGTTTTCTAATTTGTAGCTGCATTTTCCTTGTCTTGGACACTTTGTTTTTGACTAGTGCTTGTCCGTCTTTCTCTCTCTCTCTCTCTCTCTCTCTCTCTCTCTCTCTCTCTCTCTCTCTCTCTCTCTCTCTCTCTCTCTCTCTCTCTCTCTCTCCCTCACTCCCTCTCTCACTTTCTCCCTCCCTCTATCACGTTGCAGGTGCTTTCGGTTACTTTGAGGTAACAGACGACATCACGAAGTACTGCAAGGCCAAAATCTTCGAACAAGTCGGCAAGCGTACGCCAATGGCCGTGCGCTTCTCCACCGTGGGTATGTACATGTACCTCGTTGCTGCCGTTACGGTGAAGTGGTGAATGCAGAGAAAAGTGGTGTGTGGTTGAAAATGGACCCCTGATTCTAATTAATTTCAGAACTTTTTGGTGCTCAAAACTGTAGATACGAGGGCGAAAGAGCATGTTTGGTGAACATACATTTTAGGCACAGTGAAGCAGTTCCCTATTGGAGGATGTGAGTCAGTGTTTGTGCCGCTGTTGAAATTTTCGGCAAGCGAGAGATGCACCGAAAGCACCGAAAATGTAAGTACATGTACACCGAAAAATTGTGAAACAGCAGTATAGTAGCGTTAGTTAGAAGTACTCACGATGTGCATTTGTGTGCATTTGTTGTTGCTGCTGTTGCAGGTGGTGAGTCCGGCAGTGCGGACACGGTACGTGATCCGCGTGGCTTTGCCGTCAAGTTCTACACAGAGGAGGGCAACTGGGACCTTGTCGGCAACAACACACCGATCTTCTTCATCCGCGATCCTATCCTGGTGAGATGCATGTCACTGTCTGCGTATGGTTTATTGTCCTGCTGTCTGTTGACTGGTACGGCTTTTCCTGGTGCTTTGACATTTTTTTCATTTATAATAATTATTTACACACACGCAACATAGGCGAAATGCTGTGTAGCTATAACTGCAAGTTTCACGCATTTCAGCGATCATCAGACAGCAGCATTTGCTATCGAATCCTCTACGAGCAGGCCTAGATATTTGGAGCTAGTGTGGAAGTTAGTGCGTAATAATTATTTATTCGTTGCGTTAATACTCTCAGAAAATATTCATTTCGAAAAATAGTGCAAGATCACACTGCTACACACAATGTACTGCGGACAAAGGTACTGTATTTTCACAAATTTTCGGTGTACTTTTATTTTCGGTACTTTCGGTGCATATGCTTCATACCTAAAATTTCAATACACCAAACAAACACTAACACACATAATCCAATAGGGAACTGCTTCTCCGTACCTAAAATATCTGTTCACCTAACCTGGCCTTTTGCCCTCATACTGAAAAAGTGAAAATATTGAGCACCTAAAATTTCTGAAATTCGAGTACATGATTGTGCTGATCATGTAGATGCGAAAGGTCATGGGATACTGAGGAATAACCCACTGGATTATCCGATATTGACTGTTCAATACGCCCATGACTCTGTGCTAGTATTTATTTATTTTGATTGTGTTGAACAAGGAAATTGGAAAAAAAGCCCGTGTACACACGGTTAACAGTGTGCTTGCAACGAGCAGGGATGTGTAATCTGGCCGTCCAACCGGCCTGGCACATGTGGCTTCTATCTTTACGCGCATGTTCTGCTCATGTGTTTCCTTTGGTCTATGCAGTTTCCCAGCTTCATTCACACGCAGAAGCGCAACCCACAGACCCATTTGAAGGTGAGACCGTGTTGTGTTGCGCTTGATTTGTGTCGCGTCACTCTGGGGCAGACCACATGCTGTCTTGCTGGAACCCACATTGCCAGTTTGAAGCAGAGGTTTATAAGCCACCTCTACGCTACGCCCACACTCAGGAACTAATCAGCTAATCCCACTGACAAGGCGCAAGGTGCCAACTGTTGGTGATGGTGAGAGGAGATGGATTTGCCAGATGCGGCAGAACTGTTTGCAGCTAGATAGAACCTGTGACGTTTAGCACTTATTGACCGCCATTTTACAGACTCATGAAAAACATGGGAAACATTGATGCAGTGAATGGGATTTCGGTCTTTGACCACTTTGTGGTGGGTCTGATCTACTCACCTCCCACCGCTTAGGAGCTGCATCTGCGCCTTGATCCAAGAGGGTGGTGGCGTTCCTGCGGATGCGGAAAACTGGGCCTTTGGCCGAGTCTCACGCGAACCGTGAATTTTTTTTAATTTTTACAGACTATAAAGAGCTGCATGTGGAGTCTTCGAACAATCATTCTTTTCCAGTCGCTCAACCTGAAGACATTCTCCCAAGATTGCCCAATGAGTTCAAAGAGATACGGGACTCGAGTCGCAATCCAGGAAGCCGTTGCTGTGTGTTGTTATAGATAGACAATGCCCCATGAGTGAAACTGATGTACCAGCCTGCCAAGCGAGATATCGCCATCCATCGACTGATGGTGATGACAGGAGGAGACGGATTTGCAAGATAGAACTGTGTGCAGCTATGTGAAGCGTGAGATGTTCAGCGCTTGTTCACCGCCATTATACAGACTACATCTGGCATTGTGCAGTCTAATTTTTACTGGTAGTCCAATGTTTATGTTCGGCGTTAGTCCTTTTTTTCTGCGACAGCAATGTAGAACTTTTAAGTTGTGTACGGGTGCTGGGAAGTGTTGCCCTTGACATCCTGGTTCTATTTCCTTGTGTGTCTCTCTGAATTATTCTTGCTTTTGTTTGTTCTGGACAGGATGCCGATATGTTCTGGGACTTTATTTCACTCCGTCCGGAGACTACGCATCAGGTACATGTCATTGCCACTACGAATGATTTTGTGTTTGACCTGCCTCACGGTCATCAAGCATGCAATGTGTGTGGTAACAGTATCTAGTGCCTTTCCTTGAGGGGGGAAGTCGGTCTGTCTCTCACGCGGGCCGTTATTTTTTTAATATGTATCTTTCGAGAATTTACATACCAGTACTAATGTATGGCGTGGAAAGCGTATACCAACGTGGGATACATTGATTTACGGTGTGTGTGTGTGTGTGTGTGTGTGTGTGTGTGTGTGTGTGTGTGTGTGTGCGTGCGTGTGTGTGCGTGTGTGTGTGTGTCTGCACGTGTGCATGTGTGTATGTGTCCCGCACACTCCAGGTTTCGTTCTTGTTCAGCGACCGGGGCATTCCCAACGGGTATCGGTTCATGAACGGCTACGGCAGTCACACCTTCAAGCTAGTCAATGCACGCAATGAGCCAGTCTACTGCAAGTTCCACTACAAGGTAAGTAATGACGGGCTTGTGGGTGTTCTAGTCATGTTGTTGCTGTTGCACATGCACATGTTTCAATGTATGATATGGCGGAGCATAAAATAATTTACAATGCAATGTGGAATATAGAATTTTTCTTGAGCAGCTCCCACACAGCGGCTGTTACCGTAACGGAACAATGCAAACAGACGTGATCGGTAGGCGATGTTGAAGTTCAGGAAAAGACTTGTGATACAGTAGTTCAATTTTCAAAATCTGTGTGTGTGCGTGTGTGTGAGCGTGCACACGTCCGTGTGTGTGTGTGTGTGTGTGTGTGTGTGTGTGTGTGTGTGTGTGTGTGTGTGCGCGCATGTTTGTATTTTATCTATAGACTGACCAGGGTATTCAGAACTTGCCTGTTGACCAGGCCGGAAGCCTAGCCAGCTCTGATCCGGACTACAGCATTCGCGACCTGTTCGAGAGCATTGCACAGGGAAATTTCGTGAGTTCTTGCATGTACTTCCTCACTGATCTCGATCATCATGAAGCTGAGCAGCAGCTTGAATACGCTCAGTGTTGTAGCTACGTTTACTGGCAACAAGCTGACCGCTCAACTCGAGGGTCTTTCGAAATGTGGTCCATGTGTACAGGTGGTCTCCTTATCCAGGATCATTTGACTGTAAATGATATACTCGTATGCCTTGGTCCTACTTCAGTAGTTGTATTGGTTTTCTCGGACTGGTGGTCGCCTTATCATTTATCGGAGTGGTCGCCTTGACAGGCTTTACTGTACTACTAAAACCTGTCAAGGCGACCACCTGTCCCAGAAGACCACCTGTCCCAGAAGACCACTGCAGCCAGGGCTAAGGGTTGCTATTTCTAGGCAAATGGCACTGGTTAAGGAGACCACCTGGTTACAGAGACCACACTTTGAAAGTCCCTTGAGCGGTCGCCTTGGCAGGTTTTACTGTCTGTGTAACTGTTTTGGTGAATAAGGCCACATCAGCGCAACTGTGACCTAAATAGAACCGTGTCTGATGTGTGCATGTGCGTTTCTTTCCCTCCATGCAGCCGTCTTGGACTATGTACGTACAAGTCATGACCTACGAGCAGGCAGAGAAGTGGAAGTGGAATCCTTTCGACCTCACCAAGGTATGCACACGCACTCCATGAGGTGTAGAAGAGGGTTTGTTGTAGACAATTCTACTGGCTGTATTCAGGTAAAGTCCACGAGTCTCTGGCATATTGTTTCAATGTCTTCACTTGTATAATATTCTGCACTCAATTGTAAGTTGAATCCCTTTCATTGGCCATGAAGTTTATTGTAGAGTGACGTGGCCTTTCTGGAAAATGCCTTGCTTTGCAGTTTGTGTTTTCAGCAGTTCTTCAGGCAATCAAGAATTACACTGTGAAAGAAAGATTACTAGTATGATTGAATGGTGCCCATGACAAAGTGGCCATTCTAGAGCTGTGGAGTATTGTTTTTCTGGGCCGTCTGCGTAGATTTGGCCTCATAAGGAATTCCCGCTGATCAAGGCCGGCCGCTTTGTTCTGAACCGCAACCCGAAGAACTACTTTGCAGAGGTGGAGCAGCTCGCTTTCTCGCCGGCCCACTTGGTACCTGGTATCGAGCCCTCACCGGATAAGATGCTGCAGGTGTGTATGGCCAGTGCTAATGAGTGTGCCAACTGGTGCTTCTCGCCAGGGAGTAGTAAACTACCGGTATTTTACTACTCCCTGGTTCTGTCTGTGTCCTGCTTGTCCCGCTGCAAGCCCATTTCATCAGGCTGAATATTCAGTCTATAGCCTCCATTGAAGGGTTTCAGTAGTCGCGTGACACTGCACACACCTCATCTCTCTCATATGGCTAATTGAGCTGCTTTGTCTTCTATATATGGGTGAATAATATGTACAGGTCTACTCTCCATATAACGTAATCTCTGGGATCACGCAAACATTATGTTATATCAAGAGTTATGTTATGTAGAAAGCCGTGTGTAAAATACAAGATGCACCTCAAAATGAAGGGTATTACAAGGCGGGTTCAACCGTGCAAACATATACACACTGTACCACCATCGACATCAGATACCATCAATGCCGCAGAATATATGCACATAGGACTAAACTGGCTAGCTACGGCTACAGCTTGATTGTACCGCGCACGTGAATCTACGTTGTATCGAGAGTGTACATGTCGGGGACTGCGCCGTAGGGTGCGTTATGCCGAGGTTTACGTTATGTAGGACTAAACTGGCCTAAACTGCCTAGCTACAGCTACCGCTTGATCATACCGTGCACGTGAATTTATGTTGTATCGAGAGTGCGCACGTCGGGGACCGCCGTAGCGTGTGTTATGTCGAGGTTTATGTTATGTTGGATTATGTTGTGTAGAACAAATTTTGTATGGGAGTGATGCTGTTTCGGCGCGGAATTTGATTTTTGTATGTACTAACGAGGTTTATGTACAAGTGAGAGTTGTTATATCGAGAGCAGACCTGTACTACCACATGACTGTCGAATTCCGTCTCTAGATCATGCCCATCCCTATGGATGTGGCTACAAATGTAGGGTAAAGTACCGGTATCCCAGAAGCTGACGATTCACCTCCATTGTTTTCTTGCGATATTAATTTTGGTGGGGATTATATTTCTTCTTCGTTGGTATTCTATTTTTTCTTCAAGGGCCGTCTGTTCTCCTACACCGACACACACCGGCATCGTCTCGGTGCTAACTATCAGCAACTACCAGTCAACTGTCCATTTGCCACGCGCCCGAGCAACTACCAGCGCGATGGCCCCATGGCAATGGGTGACAACCAAGGTAGGTGCGCTACTGTAGGGTCCGTCTGTGTGCATTCTGCTCTAGCTTTTATGCACAGCTGAACTAAGGGCAGACAGTTTCGTAAGTGCGGTTGACAAAGCACTCGGATTTCGCCGTATTTCACTTGTCTCTTTCTTCTTTGTGTTTCATGAGATAATTTTGGAAATGTCTATGTTGACTACTAGTAAGGACGTTTTCTGTTACTTCTCCTGTGCTCTTCGCTAAGGTGGAGCACCCAACTACTATCCAAACAGCTTCTCTGGGCCACGTGATGATCCCAAGTATGCTGCATGCCCGGAAAGGGTAGGTTTAGTTGTGTGTGTGTGGGGGGGGGGTGTTTTTTGAAGTTATGAAATATGGGCCATTTGTGCCCAATTTCCAAAACTTTCCAGGGGGCACCCCTCCCCCAACGCAGAATACCTTGCGACGCCCCCGCATCCAATCTGTTAGTGTTCTATCCTCTCTGTAACCTTCTGTTGACATCTGAGGTTCTATGGTGTAATGGTTAGCACTCAGGACTCTGAATCCTGCGATCCGAGTTCAAATCTCGGTAGAACCTGATTTTTTCTTTTTTTCTTTTTCATTTTCTTCTTTTCTGTTTAGGTATCGGGTGATGTGAAGAAGTACAACACGGCAGATGATGACAACTTTACACAGGTTTGTGCAGTTTGCAGTGGACCTTTGTGCTGTTGGTTTATTTTATTATTTCACGGAGAAGGCGGAGAGCCCGAATGTGTTAAAAAAAATGAAATCCGTAAAAAAAGATTGCAATCTTTCGGTACCTCACCAGCGTACAGCATTATAGTTTTGCTGCACAGTTTGGCACAGTGTCGTAACCATGGCAACTGCCGTTGCCAAGCAAGCACATAATACCAATAGGCCGTTGAAGTCACGGCGTCATGCTTCTTGAAAGTGCATTGTGAGGGTCCGAGTTGTGACGGACAAAAGTCGCATCAATTGCACTTTTTGTTTCCATTGGTCACTGCATCACTTTGACAGGAGATAGCAAGGAGAACTTCTCCTTTTTTATCTTGAAGAAGCTTCTTCTTCGCTGTTTGCCATGTCTGGTGCAGCAGTTTGCTGCTGAGTGTTCACCAGCACCTGAGAAATAGATTTTCCGAGTTTTGCTTACCTCTCTGTACAAGGAGAAACGAGCCCATAGTTGATTGGTCTCTGAACCAAAGAAATCAGCGATTGCCACGATCAAAATAACAGAGACACTGATCATGGCTTCTTGGCTACAGACTCTAACCGTAAAACAGTACAGTAACACCAATGGCTAAACAAAAAAAATAAGCTACTGTTTCTCCTCTGCTCGGAAGACTCGGCAACAAGTTCAAAGAAAACATGAAGACGGTCTTTTTCTCACTTCCTCTCCAATCCAAGTGATGCTGTGGCCACTAAGAACACACATGTGGACGGCGCGACTTTTGTTTGTCACCACTCGGCATGGCTGCTACGCGTTGTCGAGAAGCTTTGACGTCAGACTTCGACGGCCTATGGACTAGATAGTAGAGGATATCCAAGCTGACTGATCAACACTGACTACCCATGTATGGAACAAACAGTGGCGGTAAAGCGGTGGCAAAGAGCCAGAAAGAGGTGGTCGATTGGCCAAATATGGATCAAAACCCATTGGTACAGTATTTACCAATTACCGGACTATCCCATGTGTTGATGTCATCGTGTGCTGCAGGCGGGCCTTTTCTACCGTAGCGTACTGAACGAAGCCGAGAAACAGAGATTAGTGGAGAACATTGCCGGCCATATGAAGGACGCCAAGCCGTTTATCCAGCAGCGAGCGGTAAGGAAGTGTGTGATATGTGCAGGGTACGCTGTCTGTGTTGAAGACCGCGGTCCAATGTGTGGAATAATGAGAAGAGATTGGACATGATTTAACACTGTGTATTGTTGGGGGTCGGTGGTGCACCCTTGTAACAATGTGATCATAATCGGGTTGCTCGCGATTTTGCCAGAGCCGTCATCTGTTTGTCAACATGTAGTGCCCACTCGTCTTTTACCCCGGTGTATCCCACAGACCATTGGCCTTATTACAAGAGCCCACAATTTGCAATATTCCACTTAGTGGGCAGACGATTTAGCGATCCCTGCCATCACCCCCATCGGGGGTTTTTTCTTCTCTTGTACGGAAGACAAGGAATAGGTAATGTGGTTTTTCTCGTTAAATCGTTAAACTTTGTGCTCCGGTCTGATACTGGAATTCTGCTGGATTTGGGAGGTTGCTGGATTAACAAATCTGATTTCCTGTTGCAATTTGCATGAAGAGTAGGGACATGTTGGCTACTGAAAACTATGCTGGTTGATAGAGGGTGCTGGTTAAAGGTGGGACAACTGCATGTGAATATGAAAACGAGTTGGTCCCCAATACAGACCCGGGATGAAAGTCTGAGACACTCGACGACTGGAAATCAACCCATCCCCGTTGAAAATTTCAATATGCAGACAGTATCGAACACCTCATTCTACACTACGAATGTGACACATCACGGTTGCATCGGGATTGGTCATGACAGGCCCAGTCTGATTTGCATTCAGGGTTGTCAGGATGGCCGAGTGGTCTAAGGCGCTGCGTTCAGGTCGCAGTCTACTTCTGTAGGCGTGGGTTCGAATCCCACTTCTGACAAAAACATTTCTTTTTTTCTTTTTCAACGAGGCAAATTACGTCACATGCGCAAGAACACACATAATTAAATTTTGTTATTTACACGCCGGCAGTGCTATGGCTCTGGCTGTAGCGAGTACAGGTAGTGGCAACAGTGTTAGTAAGGGGTCGTCGCAAAAGTTTTTTGTCGTCCCTGAAACGAACATGATTCGTTTGGGGGGGAGGGGGTGCGAGCCAAAATCGCAAGTCGACCGACACTGTACATATGACATGTACATGCATGCGATTTTCGTCGTCCAGCATAGCAAGCTGTGTTCATTTCAGAGGGAGGGGAGGGGGTCCGAGTACGAAATGAACGATGTTCGTTTCAGGGACGACAGAAAACTTTTGCGACGACCCCTAACTCCACATAAGTTATGTACATACCTTCTCAGTTCTGTGCTTGTCGAGTCTCCGTTCCGTTTGAAGCTGTGCCTTATTTTCTCACCAAAGTTTGAAGTGAGGCTGTGGGATGCATATTGTTCGCTGTGTTTCTGATATCCTGTACCTTCAACTGTTCTCTTATCCTTTTGAATTGCAGGTAAGAAATTTCGCTATGGCTGATCCCGACTACGGTGCACGTATTTCCAGGCTTCTCGCCAAATATCAGGTAAGCCTAAATTTACACAAAGAGGTTGTTGTTTCACAGATGCTGCTAGTTGTTTGTTCACTTACAAGTAGAAGTTAGAACGCCAGGATATACAGTGTACTACAGTTGCGCTCACTGAAATCCGACCCAAAGTGCAAAACTGGCGCCCTCGACCAGTCCCGATTACCTCCCTGTTCATGAACTTGTACACGTGTACATGCAGCCGCATTCGTAACATTTCCAGGGCGTCGAGGGCCATGCAAGCTGAGGGCGCAAAATATGCACTTTAGGTCGGATTTCAGCGAGCGCAACTGTAGTAGTGCAACGTTGTAAGCATGGTGCTGCAGAGAGAACGTTTGGCGTTGTCATTGGCTTCTACCCCTAAGTGCATATGATAACACCATGGTCTGTTCCGTGCATTTCATTATGTACTTGTGTACAGTCGTCCAGCCGTCAACAGTCTCAGCTGTAAGCAGAACTGCTCCTCCGGGCTACCTACTATCGTCTCGTCAACAACAGCCAGCCTGAAGAAGCCGTTGATAGGTTCTTATACGGGCAGCTCATTCTCATCAGCTGTGCCGCGCTGCTGCAGCTGTCACACGATCCGTGAACTTAGTTTAGCCGTACCTGGCTACGGTCAAAGTAACTATACTCACAAATATTTCGTTAGTATTAATTTTGCTCTACGATTTGTTACTATACTATTTTACTGCTATTACTTGCCTTTGCGTGTTGCTTCATCATCTCCCACTCTATTCCCGTATTCTCTACTACTCCCAATGGCGAAGGCTCGTCAAAGACGACACAGCCCTTCTTTCCCCAAACGAGGGGCAGCTCTGCCGCCCAGCCTCTATACAAGTGCTAGTACTATTAGGTGGCTGTAGCCATGTAGATCTTCACATTCTTTGTTCAGAACACCCTCAACCATTGTACAGAACAAGCAGCCACTTTCGGCAGGTAAAACAAACAAGTTGCCATCGTCGTACTACACCATTTGGTACGTCAAATCCCATGTAGAAAAAAATAGTGCAAACGTTGACGCCAATGCACACAACAACAGGCTTGACCATCTGTGGCAAGTTGTTTACAAGAAAGCATGATCAAAAGCTAGAATCCTAGCTAGCCCGAGCGAATATCTCCCAGGCAAACCGCAAGTGCCTCTATAGAACCTCATTGTTCATCTCGTACTTAGGACAGTCTAAAAATCCATGGCAACCATGGGGCTAGCAAAGATTATCTAAAAGTAACCACACATCGTGCAGCAGGCGTGTAATTTGATTTTGTACACGCGACGGTGAGTGCTGGCCGGCAGCATGTAGCAGTATGCCACGGCGCAGAGCACCGACAATAGTGCATGCTTTTAGTGCTGTTGAAGAGAAGATAAAGCGGTCTGTTTGTTTGTGTGCGAGAGGGGGACATTTCGCTATAATTCGGTACCGTGTGGGCATTGCTACAGGATTATATATGGAGTGCACAGTGTTAATTTGATAATTTAGCTCGCCTATCTGCTGCTTGTCTCTATCTGTCTAAAATCTAGCCGGGAGAACTCACAGCCTAGCTAATGGGAACAGGATCGCTAAGGAGAATTGATAACAGCATGACCCGAGATTGTCCGCTTTCCAAAGGCCATGGCCACATGCAGATACTGCGGACAGACTATTTACTGGAGCTTCCCTGTGACTTCTTTGATCGGCGCTGCGAGTTCTGACGATGTTGATCAAACTGACTCTCCATTTCCTCCAGGACCTGTAGCAAGGGGGACAAGCAAATCAATGGGAAGTAGCAAACAAACCAAAAAGCCAGAGTCAGCGTTGAGTGCTTGATGCGTTTGATGTAAACACATTCTGTTTATTTATTTATTTTTTACTATTGAACACTCACTGCATGATGAACTAAAATGAGGAGAAGAACTCGACACAATGGTACATATCCAGCAGGACGGAGTGGGTGGGACCTGTGAAGCTCAGCCGACCAAGGGTCTCGGCATCACAGCTGCACATGTGCACCAAAGGAAACAAAATGGGGGGTGGAAGGGCGGGGAGCAGGAGAGCAACTTTGCCAAGAACTCTAAGGGTAGGAAAGAGAGGAGGGAGGGTAGGAAACCAGGAAACTTGTTATTCCAAGATATGAGTGCAAACAAGTTAAAAAAAGGACAGTAGAGAGGTTCCGCGCTACGTAAGTAGAGCAACGTTACGTTAGTGGGCGAGGGAACCCCATAAATTTGCGAGTTAGCACTCCACTTACTGAAAGTTGTCTACGTAGAATACGTAGATAGGGCTCTGATAAGGTAGGTGCTCCGTAAGTGGATTGGGGTACACATTTATGACTCTCTCCCCAGGTCGGCCCGGCCGCGTTCCGATCGAGTTGTCAAGGGTAGCTACATGATTTGAAAACTCCGTATGGCGGAATAGATCCGCATGCAGTGCACGTACGACTTTCCGTAGATCAACTACGTTTTTTACTGACGTAATCACATGTGCACCGTCATAAGTTATGCCGCCGGGAACCTCTCTAATACCCCGGTATGCTGCAGCACAGCTACTAGTGCTGCTCAATGAAATCCAGTCGCGTCACTCAAGTACGCGCCGGGCATTGCCCAGCCCTAGACCTGCGAACACTGGGCTGCTAAACGGTGCAAGGCACAAAGTTGAGTGACACGATTGGATTTCATTGAGCAGCACTGTCGTTTGCAAGTGCACTACAAACTACAGGAAGCCCATGGCATCTCACGCTTCTCGCAACACATAGCTCGGTCGTAGGCCTGGGAAAGCACTGCGCAGTGCAGGAACACTGAACTGAGTGCATGAGGTAAAGAACCAGGGAGCTCAGCTCACGACCCGCAGTCCGCCATGCTTGATCTTTGCGTACATGGGCACCGTGTGTAGTGTGTGAAATCCACAAGAGCTAGTTCTGCCATGGGCAAGCACAAGCGTCTAGTGTGCCGCTGGCCCCTTTTGCCCTCGTATGTTACATGCGAACATGCACGGCACACACATAGATATACAATAAAGCGTGATGGACCCTGGCTAGCGCCAGACGCTATTATTCGCAACTTCTCCTGCACAGCTTCGGGGAATTAAACAGTATGTGTACTGCTTGCCACAGCTGCAACACTTCCATCAGATATGGTGATGTGTGTAAGTAGACCGCACAGGCACACATCGTATTCTACAGCACCGCACACAAACCTGTACATGATAATAGTGCCTGTCAATGGAATTCCGCAGCACAACCGATAGACACATCTCTGCACTGATCCCAGTTATTTTCCCACAGCTAAATTGAACATTTTTTAAATTATTTTGTCGCCCTGATTCGACCTGAGCGTTTCACAATACATGTATTGTTGCAATGCCAATTAAATAGATAGATCATCAGAACACAATTTCTTTAGCTGTATCTTTTTTAAATGTTAATGGCGTCTCTTAATCCCTTAGCACCCAGCTTTTCCCCCTCCAAGTTAACTACTAGTAGTGTACACAGTCAACATCTCTCCCCTGGGGCTGGCGCTGGCATCCCAGGTCCCAGTACTCATGGCTCTTGTACCCAGAATAACCGTTCTGCCCCTGCTCACCGCCTTACCCCACTGACACAGTCCTTCATAAGACTGGGCTTTTTGAATGTTTGTAGTCTTCGAAACAAAGTAGCTGAGGTCGCCGATATCCTACAGCAATACAACTTCGACATATTTGGCGTCGCAGAAACCTGGCTTGACAGCACAACGTCAGACAGTGATATTGATATACCAGGTTACTGTGTGATACGGCACGATCGTCCAGTGCGCAGAGGTGGCGGTGTATGCTTTTATTTCCGTTCCGGACTCCAGGTAAAACCGCGCCCAGAGCTTTCCGACGCTAACATTGAATCGTCCTGGATCGAAGTCAAAGGGCGACGAAGGCGACAACTAGTTGGGTGCTTTTACCGGCCACCTGACGAGCCCATCTTGTACTGGCAGAATTTTGAAGAGCAGCTGCACAGGGCTTTCGTGGACAACCCAAGCATCACAGTCATTGGCGATTTTAACGTTAATGTTTCAACCCCCTACCCACCTTGTCCTATCGCCCGGAAATTTCTCGAACTTTGCAACTGCTACGGCCTCACTAATCACGTTCATGCTCCGACTCGTATCTCACCGGCGTGCCCATCAGGTACAACTATCGATCTCATTCTTTCAGCTAGTCAAGACATCAGTGAGTGCCACGTCCTGCCTTTGACCATTAGCGACCACTTTGGGATTGAGGCTAACCTGCACCTTCAGGTTTCTCGCAGCGTGTCACCTCAGGCAGTAGAGCGGGTCCGAGCTCAGAGAAATACTCGGTCGGTGAACCTCTGTGAATTTCGTCGGGATGTCAGCTCCGCAGGGCTGGATGATTTTACTAACACGCGGGATGTGGACACCATGTGGGCGTCGTGGCATACCAAGTTCTTGGCTGTCGTGGACAAGCATGCACCCATCCGCTATGTATCCTCCAACCGCAAATCCCATCCGCCCTGGTCCGACAGAGAGCTCCACAAGCTCAACCAACGTAAAAACCAGCTACACCGACGGTGGCTACGCGATAAGGGAAACCAGAATCTTCACGTACAGTTCAAGCAAGCACGCTCAAGCGCCAGAAATGCCTATCGCCGAAAGCGCAATGATTTCTTCCGAGCGCAATGTGCCGCGTCCAGTCAGAACCCGCGTAAGCTCTGGAACGTCATAAACTCCGTTACGAACAGGAAGAGAGTACGTGTGGAGCCTACTTGCCCCATTGAAGAAGTTTCGTCAGTCTTCCAGGCAGTAGTAACAGACAATGCCCGTCCTCACAGCATCCCGCTACCGCAAGGTCCACAGCCTCAGACTGCAATGTCAGAATTGCCCCAAGTGTCTTTTGGCGAAGTAGAACGGCTTCTCCGACAAATCAATCCTGCCAAAGCAACAGGAAGCGACGGGATACCTGGTCACCTTCTGAAGTGCTGTGCCGATATCCTAGCTGCGTCCGTGGCCACGTTGTTTAATGCCTCGCTTGTCAATGGCACTGTCCCCACAGCCTTCAAACTCGCACACGTTATCCCGCTGTTCAAAGCCGGGGACCCGTCTATTCCCACTAACTTCCGTCCAGTGTCCCTACTTCCCATATTATCAAAACTCTTGGAGAAAGTCGTACAAAAGAAGCTAGCCCAGTTTCTGGACATATCTGGTACCCTCCCCACGACTCAGTTTGCATTCCGCGCAGGCCACTCAACGGAGGATGCCCTGGTACTTATGCTAAATCGTATTCTTAGTGCACGGGACAAGCGTTTGTGTACTGGCATATGCCTTCTAGATATGTCAAAGGCATTCGACAAGGTTCGTCATGAACGGCTACTCCAGGACCTATTCGATATCGGCATAACAGGGACAGCCCTAAAGTGGTTTTCCGCCTATCTGTCGGGCCGTACTCAGCGTATCTGTATTGGACGGGATCAGAGTGCCATTTCTGCACCATCCTGTGGCGTGCCACAAGGTTCTGTTCTAGGACCGATCCTTTTCAGTATCTACACCCGCGAAGTTCCAACCATAGCTAACCAGTCTTCATCAGTTCAATTTGCCGATGACATTGCGCTGATCAGCAGCAGCACATCCCTGGACACGGTATCTGCTACGCTATCGGCCTCGGTTTCTGCACTTGCTGACTGGTTGCAGACCCGTGGTCTCATTTTGAATGCAGCCAAGAGCCAAGTGATCCCTGTATACCCCAACAGGCAGCCTCAGCAGCCCCAGCATACGATCAATGTAAACTGTCATGAAACGCCGATTCCTGTCGTTACTGCGGCCAGGTATCTTGGAGTGCTCCTCGACTCGGATCTGTCATGGACGCCCCATGTTGATCGCTGCACCGCTCGACTGGCCCAGAGGATCGGAGCACTATGGAGGTTGCGTCGCTGCTTGACTCATCAGAGTCGAGTTCTCTACTTTAAAGCGATCATCATGTCTGACCTGATGTACGGATCCAATGCGTTTTCCTCGCTTCTTACTGCCAACCAATTGGATCGGCTACAAGTCATGCAGAATCGGGCGGCAAGGGCGGTTTTCGGACTCTCGCATCACACCTCCGCGCGTACCCTCCTGCTGCAATTGGACACCTACAGAGTATCCGAGATATTCAGGCAGAAGTTCATCGTTCTGGTCTGGAGGTCTCGGAATGAGCACGCAAGTTCTGAACTGCAAGCCCTCCTAGTTCCTTCGGCAGCTGGCCCAACTAGGTTGCACTCCACCATGGGTCTGCGCCAACCGCCAGTTTCCACCAGGTTCGGCAAGGGTTGCCTCGCGTTCCGGGGCGCCCAGCTGTGGAACACATTACCCAGCGATATACGTGCCATCTCCACGCTCCGCCAGTTCCGCGCCAGCATGATCCCGCACACACTTACTGGCCTTAGTACCTAGAGTACCAGACGTCCTGTTTGATGATCAGCTGGCTTAGTTTTTCTCCACCTCTATCCTAATTACATCAGTCCCCAATTTCATTTATTACTGCTTTCTATCTGCATTCGCCACCTTTTCATTGGGCAGATCTGCCCGTTTGGTTTGCGAATTAAAATAAACACAACAACAACAACAAATGGGAAACTTCAGAGATGTATCATACATAGTGCAGGTGACCAACTACTGAGCAAACGTACTGAGTACATCTACGTACCTGCGGGTTGTATTTGACGATCATCTTTACAGAGTTTTCGGACTGCTTCAGCTGGCCCACGACCTCTTCGTGCTTCATCTTTTCGACCGATACGCCATTGACGGCGAGTAGCTCGTCGCCGCGTCGGAGACCTCCGTTGCGATCCGCCACACCATCCGCAATGATACGAGACACGTATATCGGCGTCTCCGGGTCGTTGCCGCCCATGATATTGAACCCCAACCCGCTATCGGTCTTCGGCAACTCCACAATTCGTGGGTGCGCGTAGCCCTCGCTCGCAGCGAACGCAGCTACTGTCGCTTTGGCCGTCGCGCCCGCCACAGCCTCGGGAGGACCATGTGCGTCGACCGTCTGATAGACGTTCTCATACACGTGGCGTACCGTGCCGAAAAACTCACTCTCCAGCACAGCTTGAAGCTTCTGGAGCTTCTCCCGTGGAATGTTGCCCTTGGACTGGAGTTTTTTCAGCAGCTCCACAGCCCGGTCCACGTCCTCCTTCAGCTGCAGGCCAGACGCGTTCTCAGCACCCAGTTCCGACATTGCGAAAACCTATCTTGTCGCACAAGAGTCAAAAGAAAACACACAGCGCTCGACTTCAACGGACGACTCGCGCGATCGTCAGTGCTGCAAGTCTCAGCAAGAAACTCGTAGACCTTCTAGCTACGGCTGCTAGTCGCAGATACTCAGCTGGTGTAGAGTCTCGCGGCAAGTAGGCCTATTGAGCACTGTTGTAGCTAGTGAGACTGATTTATGAGCAGAACAGCAACTCCAACTACAAATCTCGTGAGTCGAGTCGAGCGATTCCAACTCACGACCAAGCACCGACGATGACACTGTCAAAAAGACAACAAAATACTAACTGTCTTATTACCGGCGGTAGTGCTGATCTGACTGCATGCATGCAGCAGAAGGCCAGAAATCACTCACTAATCACTATGCACTATTGCCACTACTACGAAGTACGAGTACTACAGTGCTGGCAACTGAAATCCGACCACTGAGCGGTGGGTTCACATTCTTTGCGATGTGAGCGCAACGCTCAGGGGGTCGGATTTCAGGTGCCAGCACTGTACTACTGACAGTAGTCTGTAGCGGACATGGAAATCCAGTCGATTGGCCGGCGCCCTCAGCGCGTACAGAACGCTGTACCGCTCACACTGCACGGCCAGCGCTCTGGCCCCAGTCGACTAGTCTGGGGCCGCTAGACGTGCGACCGGATTTCCATGCCCACGACAGTACTACTACTAGTCACTACCGGTAGTACAGACACTACAGCCTAGGCTAGGCACTCCACATAACCATGATAACTAAACCATGATAACCTGATAACAGATAGAGTAGTCTTGTGTAGATCTGATGATACATGCACTGATGACTGCATTAATTTTTTGTGTAGACTGATCCTTGATCATTCATAGCAAGAGTACAATTCATGTATACAGTACTGAAGTATAAAAGAGAGCAACCTCTATTTCATAAAAGAGAGAGGTTATTATTATTCTTGATCATAGTAATAGTGTGTACAAACTGTGTGGTGGGTGCGTCTAGTAATAGTATCATTCTGGTCTATCGTCAGTATCAAGCCCTGGCCCTGTGGATAGGACTCTTTTTTTATGAGCTGAAATAAGCTTTCAGGACTCCCTGGTTCTACGCATGCATCTGTTCCACCATACTGCATGACTGTAGATAGAGTGACTGTAGACCCTGTAATAGTTTTTACTAGTACATACATATGACATAATCCAAAACTAGCATATTGATGAGGGTCAGAACCGGGTGCGATACCCATATAGTTCAAATGGTCCGCAGGGACCGGGGCTCTGCCAACCGCGGAAGGTTGAAGTAAGGTCACTGTTTCCGAACACAGTGTCCTCCACCTTGTTTCATGCTGTCAATCTAACAATTTAGTACATACATGTACTCATGGTACTAGTAGATCTACTAGTACAGTCGTCCCTCTCTAATCCGGCACTTTATAATCCAGCACCCTCGATAAACCAGCACAATTTTCAGTAGCCAAATGTCCTCTTCATGCA